GGGAGCGAGACAAAGAGGAAAAAAGAGGCGGACGACGGGAACGGAAGGGAAAAGCTGGTGTCTCGAGCGAGCGCCGGTGTACACCGGTTAAATAACTCGGGTGTAATAAGGAGCCGGCGCGTTACGCCTACTAAACGCTCGTAATAAGAAGCTTAATGGCAACGCCCGACTATAACGACGATAACAATCATCATAACCGTAACGGGCATAATAACCGTAATGACCAGCGGGGACGCGATAATACGTCGTCGTTGCTGAATGCGGAGGGGGACACGCCGAAATTTGTGGCCACGAAATGCGACGGTGTCGGCCGACCGGCCATAATTCCGCGCCCGGAATCAGTGGATCGTGGGTCGGGGTTAATACGCATTGGCTAATTCGTCGATGGCTCGAGCCCCTCGGACGGGACTTGGAGATACTTCAAACGGATGGGTTACTTGGGAATTGTTTGCTTGTTCCTGATGTCGGTTACCCTGACCGCGCTTGTGCTACGTTGCAATACGTGGTTCCGCTCTGACACGGTTGAAGAACAGAGGATCACTGTTGTAACGTGTTATCGTTGAAGAATTCACAAAATTGGAAGGATTATGTTTGGTTAAGTATGATATTAATTGTTAGAAAATTTGCTACTTGTAACTGTGATTCTATGACACGTTTGTAATTGAAGGTTGTAAAAGAGTTTTCAAGATTAAATCGAATATAAGGTTCTTTGTTAATGATTTTAGTGCTTCACGAATTATATGATAACGTTAGATTTAGTTCTATTACGTTATTGCGTCTGTAACAGATAAAAACGTATCTATGAAGTTCTTAGTTCACTTTTTCAAATAAAGTTACCAATTATCTCACGATTAAAGAATAGTTCCAATCCTGAAATATCTTTTAACGAAGTAAAGTCAAGTACAACTATTTCCAAATATTAACTTCCAACCCCTTTAAAGCTTTCTTATTACAAAAGCACACCTCTCGAAAAACAGTTGCCAACAAAATTTTCATGTGCATTCCGGTAAGAACCGTTTAGAAATTATTCGAATTCCCGCTATTTGATTGTTCCATCAGCTTGAATCGCTCGGGGCGGTACTGCGACAGCAGCCGTGAAGAATGGACGAACATCCCGAAGTGCAGGGATGATCGATCACCGAGCGAATCGATCGGCGCCGGTCTCGATGTAGCGTCTTCCCGTCGATCGGACAACTGGCGAGGACACCGGATCGCGAATAGTGAACTTATCTATCGTAGTATGGTCGCGGGACAAAGGATAATAAATGGGTACGCTCGGGCTGCTTGAGCATTCGAAAAGGTGGACGGAGTTGTGCTTCCAGACCGGGGCAACTTTAAATCACGCCGCTGCCACTGCGATGTAGATAACCGAGGCGGAGGCGAGCTGCTCCATTCTATTCCCGGGATGTCTCTATTTCTGCTGATAGACACCGCGTGGTCGGCCAAGCAATATCTGTCCTCGCAGCTTGAGCGGAAACGCCATCGGTCTTTACGGATTAGACCCGTTATGTTCACGGGTGGAGTCCCTTGTGCAGCTTCAACCGGTGGACATCCAAATGTTTCCACCGTGCACTGTATCAGAGGTTTCAAATTATTCGAATATTACGCTGAGATTTAGAGAACGCAAACTAATTAGAAAATAGGAGCTTCTGTTAACCGTTTGACTTACAATATCGTGAGAGATTCGTGATGAAGATTGTAAACAGAATTTAGCAAAAATAAATATTACTCGAGTCTTGTGAATTCGAATGAAATATCGTGTTTCCGTTATCAATTATTATATTTTAGAGCAAAAGTGGGCATAGGGTATGCATACAATTTTTCTCTTTTTTCGATACATTATCAATGACAAAGTTATTGTATTGATCACAGTTGAGAAATAAATCATAAGGCGAAGGGTTAATAGAAAACAGATTATTGTAAAACTCGAATATTTCAACTGAAGAAGTAATGATTTGGAAATTGGATATCAGTTCGAACTGTTTGAACATTGTTATTAAAAAGGGCTGTGCTTGTTAGAATAAATAGTATAATACGATAAGAGAAGTTAAGTGAAATTTAAGTACCACAAGTTTATTCGACAGAGATAGTCTTAGGATTGAGTAATATTCGAATAAATAGGAACATTTGGTACCATTTAAAGTTCGGAAACGTCGAACAGTTTGGATAGTTCGAATTCTATTGACCACCCCGGAAGGTCGGCGACGACAACACAAAATGGAGGATTCAGATCCTCACGTTCGACGACGTAGATCGCGTCTGCTTAGCATCTTGGTTTCCTTGACAACAGAGTTATAGTGGGAGAAGCCCGATTTACTCGCGGGTGAAGCTCGGACAACATGGGATTAGACTATGCGGGCAGGGGGCGATTAAATTAAATGCTCTGGTATAGATCGTCCTGACGTGGTGCGCGTAACGATAACAGATGGATTTCCTCGACGAAATTGATTCTGCTGGAACCAAGCGAAAGTTTATGTAAACAGCCTTCTCGAATTTGAAAAGTTCACCGTTACAGGATGTAGGCACGCTAAGTACTGTCCGAGAATTTTATTAAAACTTATATTACTGAAGTTTTTCTACTTTGTTGGTAAAACGAGTATTAATCAGATCATTTCAGCAGTATAATTTGAAACTATCAATTTTCAGATGGATTTCATAAAACTGTAGTGTAGCTGTTATTTTTATTAATTATACTTATTGTTCTATTTTGTATGCTCGCAATTTTTACAATATTCAGATTAATATTAATTTCAATAATTCCCTATTCACAGTTAATGAATGACCTCCGAAGTCTAGAATTTTGCTGCTCTCGACTGCAGATGAGAATTATTCAATATATTAGCTGCGCGACAAGTTTTCCGTTCATGCAGGACGTTCTACAAATCTCGCGATTCATATGGGAATTGCACGGGGTTGATATTAAACGTTTCTAGATTACGAATAATAAAATTCTCGAGTGGATAGCATGCAAAAAGATGTAAACCCCGTTCGGGAGATTCATAAAGTGATCCGAATTCCTTACAGGACCTGCACAGCGTCGACCTGGAGGAATTCAAGCACGGCGGGACCAATATCACTGCCTTTCGATTAGTGGACCCGGAGAAGCCAGAAATTCAGAAGGTCGTGCAAGATTGGATCTACGGCGAGAAACGTTATAATCGGGAGCTCGATATGGGACAAAGCTCGAACAAGGTATGACAAAATTTGCCATTCAGTGTTATCACAAAGTTTAATTATTCAGAACACGTGCCGATATCAAAATTTCCATAGAAAGTCAGGAAGCAGTATGATAAAGAGAGAGTACGTGATAAATGTTACTATTACTGTGGGAGTGTTTGTACAAACTTCCACAAGCAATTTCGCCAAAATCAAATTGGAAGATAAATTTATTGGACTCGTCCAAGGTGAATTGATTAAAAAGTAAAAAGATAAAGGGGATATTAATTTGCCATTTCACTGTACATCGTACATTCGTGCGTATCAAATATTGTATAAACCTTCGGGATTGTTTAATCGGCAGTGTTTGATAATTAAATACCTCTTACTATTTATTGTTTTGTTTTTCATTGTAGAAATAATTGATCGTTGATCTTTATAATATAAATCGTTTTTTATCGTGCGTACGGTGCGTGTGAAACTGTATCAGCGAGTATAACAGTAGCTGTTTCGGGTCAGTAGTTTAATGGATATTTAATATCAAATGTGCACGCGAGCGCGAATATTAATTTCATCCCTTTGTTTTCTGTTCTCGGGTCACCCCAGATCAAATAGATTACTTTTCGGGTGTGGCGGCAGGGATTTTGATGGAATCGAAATTGCATGATGTGGTCCATATAAAATTAGAGAGCGATATTAAATGCAGCAAATCACAATTCCTTTTCCTCACTTTCACAAGAGCGGCGAACAAAAATTAATGTTTATCCCGACAGCTAATTATACCTTGCACATCCTGTTTTCCATTGAAGATCATAACGTACGATGATACTCGTAATACATGACTCTCGTTTTCCAGAAATTCACCAAAGACAATACCAGTTTCCTAAACAGAATACTATTCAGACAATAATTTCCCCTAAGAAATACTGTAAAAAGAAATTTTCATTAACTAGCTTCATATCGCATGCATTCTATACAACATAGCACTTTCAACTTTCCCATAAACGTATAAAAATCCGTAGTCCACATATAACGATAGAGAAACACTACACACGTCAATATCAAACATCTCACCATACCGTATTCCGTTTCATTCGAATTTTTTATGACACGTTTCGAGCAATAACAAAAATCTCAAAACCGAGCGCCTAGAGCGTACGTTTCTCCTGTGCACTATCAGCTCGCAGGTAGTCGGCCCGGAGCCGAAACAGCGAGTGAGAGTTTCGCCGTGCACACGTGCGAACTTAATTATTGGCGGATCGTAGACTCCGGCGAAAGGGATTTTAACAGTAGCACAGGCGGTGCTGCAGCGGCGCGATGTAATTTTCCCAGTGAACGAGCGTACGAACTCATCGGATCGGCCCGTATGCATGCAAATGGCGCGAAGATTGTTCCGCGACGCGCAACCTAATACCAACGGGGCGTCGCGCGTCGCTTAAAACCACATCGCCTGTCTTAATAACGTTCTAATTTCGCATTCTTCGAGCAACGCAACCTTGACAGTTTCACCATCGATCTCCGGCGTGACGGCCGCGACACGGCCGCACCGTTCGTTGAACGTAAGCCTGTCGGACGTAATAATTGGGTATTAGCTATTCAAAAGTTGAATGACGTCGCGGGAAATTCAATTTCCCGTAGCACGTGCCTGAATCTCATAAGAATGCAAATACCACAAAGGCGCGCGAAACTCGCGCCGGATGCTGTCGGGCCGAACTTCTCGGCCGCCGGCCGCGAAAGACCCTCCTGTTTGTGAAAACTTAATGCCGGTATGACGGACTATCTCCCCGCTGTGCACGATCAATCTGCATTTTTATTTTGATCGAGTCGAATCGCTTCCAAAAGCGGGGGAGTGGGACCGTGCTGGTTATTATTATAGGAAACACATAAAACTCACTGTTTCGAACTATTCCATGTGATGAACCGGGAAGTCCGAGGTTCTTTTGACAAATTAATAATGGAGCACGTTTGAATGATTGAGAATAATGTTTACGAGTATACGGTTTATTTGATAGTTGACTCTCTCGGCGCGTAGTACGGCCGCCTGTCGACAAAACCCGAAAATTCGATTATTCAGATATCGAAAATTGAAGGTTGCTAATACATTGCTGAGTATTCCCTATTATAAAATAAAAATGTGTAAATAAATTCCGTTTCTCTATTTATATAACATTGGAATCGAAACGTAAAATATCCATTGTCATTGAAAAAACTTCATAATATCCTCATAATGTAAACAAAAATATTACCACTCTATGTCTAGCTCTATACCTTGCAATTTTGGTCTGAAGTGAAAAAGTTGACACTTCGTTTAATCGTTTTTGGTTAGCTTACCGTAAAGGAATTAAGAAAATATTTTCAATAGTTCCCAGTGTTTTTGACATTCCTTCTACAACGAAACATATTATGATGAATTCCGAATTTTTGCCGAATCGTTCAATCGTGTTCGAAGATATTATTTTTTTGAAATTGAAAGAAACAAAGGCAGTAGCGTATGAATGCGATGATACTATCGCGTGAAATAAATTCCACTATCATCGACAAAATTTAATAATTCCGCAGACATATTTTGGTCACGTTCGTGTTCGCAGGGTTCGCGTCGAAACATTCGGGCGAATGAATTATTTTGCAGCCCCGAATAGAGACTCGTTCGAACAGTTATCGCGTTCTTGTTATTTTCATAGACAAACGAAATTCGTAGCCAATTTCGGCGCGCTGTTCGATTGATCGAGGGAATTTCGTCGCGGAAGTTACCCGTGCAATTTACCCACTTCCTCTGCGTGTTCGCCGCTCACATCAGTCGCATTAAACCCGCTAACGAAATAACATCACATTACAGAATACGGGAACGTGTGTGTGCGAGTACCTATCTATTATGTATGTGCGCGCACCTTCCGCGTGTAAATACACGAGATACACGCGCTCCTGCGTCCATTAGATATTTGCGTTCCGTCTACCTGCTTTATACGTCGAAATGTTACAGTGAAAATTGCTGGAGCGATCAATCGAATTATTCTGCGATTGAAAACACAAATTTTCAAAAGCGGAGGAGAAAAATCGATGGACGAATTGGAATAACAGTCTCTTTATAAATAGAACAACAAGGGGATAATTTTACGTTCATAACCGTTAGCTTTCCGTTCGGTACTTTAGCAGGTCGACGTGCAGCCAATATGCGGCACATAAGGGTTCAGATTAGAGATCAACCATTGTCTATTTTTTCACTTTAGCCCAGGTATCGTAAAGTCGTGTTCCAGAGGGTCCGTTAGAATTTCAGGAAAAAGTGTCCTCAAGGATCTTGACCTAATGGAATTTCTCTAACGTTGCCAAATATTCGTCCAGCGGAGCAACCAACTCCGTCACCCCCGCTCCACGGAAGTACCGCGCTACGGGCGCGGTGGAAGGGGATGATACAGGAGTGGCTATCATACTTAGGAAGGGATGGAAAAACCGCCCGTGGGACCCTCCTTCTTACATCGAGAGGGAGGGAGTGGGCCCAGGAGGATTATAAAAATCCTTCAGAGATTTGAGAATCGGTCAGAGTTGTAGAATCGGAACAGAAACAGCGTCAGTACAGTTGGAATACAGTTTAGAAATAAACCAGAATCAGAATCAGTTGAGAATTAGAAACAAGAACACGTTCAATCAGGAACACGTTCATTCAGGAACAAATTAGAAACACTTCAGAAAACCTCCATTCGGGGAGGTACATCATTCAGTCAATCAGACGTTAGAACTGTTAGTCCCAAGATTGGGTGATCCTTCGAGAAAAATTCAGCATATACTCAAAAATGCTCGTGACAGTTAGATTGCGTTAACATTTGGTCCTTCCAGCCGGATCAACGTTGACGAGTGTTAACACAGAAGCTTCTGCTGAAGTTTCCTTTTTTTATTTTTGATATCGAGAAATGTGAGCGGAGGAACTTGGTAGAACGGGACTAAGAAGCGCATTTAGTTTATCTGCGCCTGAGAAAAGGAAAACGTATCGAACAATGCGAAAGGAATTTCTGCTTCCTTCGTACGGCAGCTACGAGCCAATTAGATCAACGAAGAAACTTCTATCGGGCCACTTTTAATCCGCCTCGCAGCGGTAGAAGGTTAAATACAATTTTCAGGTTGCTCGAATTCTTGGTAGAGACGCAGATGCTTCGAACACCGATCGACTCAACCGGTTAAGAAAGCTGCAGGGCTAATCTTATTATGCCGGAACGGATTATTACGGAACTTCCCAGCATTCGACATCATTAAGTTACAGAAACTTGCATAGTAAACTTCTAAATAATTCCGGAACAATCTCACGCTCCCTTAAAAATGGATTCTGTACAGCGACTTGGAAACTTCTTCGGATAGGTATCAGATGTTTCTTCATTACACTGTCACCTTATGTACGCTGTTTAACGCTTACTGTTATACTTAAAGTTTCTTAAAGAAAATTAACTTTAATTTCGAAACGTTCCTCTAAGTAATTTAATGGTTTACAGAGTAACTCTTACTGCGTGGAATTTGTTTTACGAAGCAATAATATAATATGATAAACAAGCATGGAAATTATAGAAAATAAGTGATCAAAGGTGAATAAAAACAAGGCAAAAGGATCTCTAAAAATATAATCTAGTACTCTTAAAATTCATTACGCAGTGATTTGAAGTATACTTATACAATTATGTAAACGTCACATTATAAAATTCATACACAAATATTACAAATATACAAATATAACAAAAATATGACGTCTAACTTTTATAAAAATTAGAATACTTTTAAATTGACACTAATAATCTTTATTCATTAAATATTTGAATAATTCAGCATTAAATGCGCGAATCAATGTGCCATTATTGCATTATTCGTTCTTCGTTCTTTTGCATGCCTTTTTCTGCCAAGTTCTTCTATGGCCTAGTTTCCGTAGCACCTTCATCGATGTTCCACTAGGATCCAAAGAAGTTTATAGAATAATGTCGTGCTCAAGGGAAACGGGCCGCCTAATTGGTAGTTCTTCGAACGGGCTACGAGCCGACATCACCAAAGCAGATTATATCATTGCGCGCATCTGGCACAGTATCAACCGCGGAAAAGTTGAACAGCGAATATGGAGACTCGGTCATCTCGCAGGGAGTAACATCTGCCGCACCCGACGCCAGGTTTCGGCTCTTAAAAAGGCTAAATTGCATCGACTGGCTCGTATGTTCGCGCAAAACTTTCCCAGCATCCCAACTTTTTGCTGAAACTCCACGTGGTACGGTCAAGTATCGGGGAATCTGATGGATCCCCCGTAATGCCTCGTCTTGATATTATTAGTTGCGAGTTGATAAATTGAGCGTCTTGTGGTGTTCATTTCTAACATCGATCAAACACCGTGAAATGTTTCAACGAAGTTTGAAGTCTCGGAAATTATTAGGAATGATCAGAAAAATCTTCTTTTCCCACATTTCAACTTTTTTAATTAGTTTATATATTAGTTTATTTCATACGGAATTTAAAAATAACTTCGTCTCTGTGTTTAAATATCTGTAAGAATGAACTCGAAATTAAGATTTAAAGTTACCTTATAAATGAGTATATTTGGCATTTATATAATATATAAATATGCAAGGAACATAATGTAAATATTTTTCAATGGACTGCACAAGAAATTGTCATCTTATTTTCGTCGTAATAGAAGTCTTAACTAATATATGGATAAGTTAAACTCTAACAAACATCTACAGTTTATATAGTTCTGATATAACACTGTACAATACTTCATGATATAATATTAATTGATTAAATATCAGTCGTAAATTACTTTCCCTCAGACCCGACACGTTACCATTCGACGTACCATCTAACTTTCATTGTTCCGTTTTCATCTCTGTCCGACTTTCCTTGCCCTTCATTTCCGGACACCTTGTCGAGCGAATTTCCTCAAACAGCACCAGCACGAATTCACTGTCCGTTTCCATCTCCTCATTCGCATCGAAGTCATCGACTGTTAGAAACAGTGGAATGTTTGAACCGTCGTGACAGTAAACTTCCTCCCGCGGTTTTCTGCGTGCGAAGGATCGATTGCGTTCGACACAATCCTGCTGAGGTGTCTTTCTTAACCTGAGAAAAAATGAGAATTGTGGTTGGCAAATCTGAATAGATTTCTATTCGCAAAAAGTTAGTAAATTTTTCATTGAATGATCAAATTTTTATAAAATTTCAAAATTCATCCGTCTTGATTACGATATATTAACATTAAAGATGAATAAGAAACTTATAATATAATCATGTTATCGTACAATATTGAAATTCATTGTCTAAAGTGCCTCTAGCAAAGAAGCAAATCGTTTTTAACGATTCAATCGATCCTACTCTCGAATTCTCATTACAGAGCGGCACGTGACTGTAGGCAGAGAATACGTGGTCTTTAAAGGGCCATTTGTTCGGGGAAAATTTCGGTCCTTACGGGCCAGGCAGGTGAAACCGAATTTAACGAAGTCCCGGCGAAAAGTGCATCCTGGAGCGCATCTATCGCGGGAAGGGTTGGGCTTTCGTGGAGTCGTTTCCTCCGCGTTATGAACGGGTCAGGGATCAAACAAGCGTGCCTCTTCGAGAAAAGAAATGAATGGAGGTATAGGAAAGCTAGAAAGACCGAGGGTAAAAAGATATAAAGCTCGGCAACGTTAGGATGCCCCGGGGTGCCTTCCACCAACCCCGGCATCCATTATTTAACCTCTCGCCGCTGATCTCGTTCAATTGTTTGCGTTTTCACAGGTGAACCTGATCTTATTTTCTGCGTTTCTATCGGCCCCTCGCGAGGCCTCCGGTTATTTAAAGACCAACAGCTTGGAATATTTTCAGCGGGCTCAATGCTGCTTCGATTATTGCATCCGCGGTATACACTTTCTGCTATTAAATTACCAGATGTAACAATTCCTTAAAGGAATTTTACTATTTGATTATAGTTTTCATTTTGGTTTCCAATGTATTTAAAAAGATAACAGACGAAGTGAGTTTTCTTGGAGGCAATATCAAATAGTTTTGATTCGACTTTAATGGAATTTCAGCTCGCATCTTTCAATTTTTCGGTTACTTTGTAATCTACAAATTCAAAGAATAATTTATTCTTATATAAAAATGTATCTTTTCAATTCATAGTATAATTTATTCGAGAAACCCAATAGGATTTCCCACAAGAACCTTTCTCAAAGACTTCCTATAATGAAACAACAGCGCGAATAATTTACAAGCAACAATAAACCAGACACTCTAACACTTCCCCAAATTCCCGATCGCGAAAACACGTAAATTCAGGAGCGTCTTAATTAGCCTAAC